CTTTAGAATTTAAACCAGACTTGTTTCTCTGTGATCATTTTCTTAACGAAGCTTGTTATGATGCTGCTTGGAAATTGAAAAAACCTAGTATTGGAATTAGTTCCTGGTTGACTCGTAAGTGTTAATTTATTTCGTATATATATGTTCCTTTTAATATTATTATATTTTTTGTTTAAATTTATTATTATCTTTGAAGCAAGGTTGTATTCTCCTTATAAATCCGATCCAATGTTTGGATGTCACGCGAATATGGAACATGAATCTTTTATTGAAAGATTTCGATGTGCTATCATTACACCCCTAAGAATCATTTACAAATCGAGAGATTATATGATCGAATTGAATGAAATTAGATCTACTGTAGGCGTTGCTCCTACTTCTAACTCAATAGAAAGAATAAAAGATACCTTATTTTTTGCTGACACATTTTTTGGTTTTGAAGTGAGTCATTGTTCAATATATTGTGAGAACGGAATTTAAATGAACTTAATTAAGCTTAAATTTTAGCAATAGATATATTTCATATAAACCGTTTAATAGACTTCCGTCATTATATTTAAAAGTTTAAAAATCAACTTAAATTCCGTTCTCATTTACGGTATATATATTTGTTTGACGATCGTATTATATCGATTTTAATATATATTGAAATTTTAGACTCCAAGCCATCTACCCCCTCTTGTTCAAGTAAGTATTACGTATTAAATCTTTTTTTTAATGTAATCAAATGATATATTAAATCTATCATAATATGATTAGGAAATTGGTCCTGTAATGCAGGACGAATATGAATCAATAACTCCTATTCTATCCTCATTTCTCACGAAACATAAACGAACAATACTTGTCGCATTTGGTACTCATGTGTATATCACTCCTGAAAATATTGGAATCTTGCTTCAATCCTTTATCGAGGCAATCGATCGTAAAGTAATTGATGGAATAATCTGGGCGCTTGTGCAAATCTCTCATGATGATATTCCTTCGACTATATCATTATCTGATGGTTCCACTATATCAACTGATGAAATTCTAAATAATCAAAATCCTCATATTCATGTTTCTCAGTTCGTACCACAATTTGCACTTTTAAATCATACAAATGTCAAAGTATTTTTATCTCATGCGGGTAAAGGAAGTTCACATGAGGCTTTATACTCAGCAACTCCAATGTTAAATTTACCAATAGCTTTTGATCAAATGGGAAATGCAGAAGCATTAGAAACTGCTGGTGTGGCTTTAACCTTATCGAAACTTAATCTTCAAGTTGAAGATATAATTTCGAAACTTGAACAATTGCAAATTGATGAAAATATTCAGATTAATTCTAGAAGAATGCAGGTATTGGCAAGGATTAATAGCAAGAGAAAATATAGAGCTGCTGATATGATTGAATTTCTTTTATTGGCTTCTCAACTAGTACCAGAAAAAGGTGGTGATATTGGTGATACTAATGCTAGTCAAATAATAACTGATGATATTATTGTGACGAGAAATGATTTTACAAATTCATATTTGAATGAATTAATCACACCAGACACGAGAATGGGTTTTATTCGAGGCAAGTACCTTGACGTGTTTGGTGTATTATTTGGTGGAATTTTGATTATTCTAGGTATTATAATTTGGATTGTTTGGTTCGTCGCAAGTCTTTTTGTAAATAGTGTTATAAATTTGATAGAATCTTTGATTGGATCAAAGATTAAAGAAGATTAATTATTTTTACAATTATATTTTAATTTGTTATTTTTACATTGACTTTTTTTTTTAATAAATTTCTGTCAAATTGTTTTTGTTAAATTTATAGTCGGCTGGATCAAATACATGTCTAAAGTCATCACGTGAAATTAGAAAGTTGCTAATAAAAATGTAAATGTCGTACATATCTTGTTAACATCATTATTACTGCATTAATTGTTAATGGTGACACTGTATCTCGTAACATGAAATAATTAAGACGGCAAAAGAATTTTTCAAGTAATCTTTGCGTCATAGATATTATCAAAACTAGTTCTTGAAAATCATACATCAACAAAGAAGTTCTTGGCTTATATAATAGCACTTGAAAAAGAAAAGGCACGTGAGTTATTGCACAAGTAATAAACAAGTGAATTCTTGATGTAAATGTATTATTATCTAACGATAGTAATTTAATATTCAAAGTAATTAGAAAGCATTTGAAGTATTTCAATTACCTGTTGTGTTATAATTATAAAATAATTGGACGTGGGGTAAAAGCGTGCGTTAAAAAGCCTATACAATAATTTAAGTCGGGATGATAAATAAGGCACTCAAATAAATTAGATGTGCCACAAAGCAAAATATTGAACTAACCACTAAAATTAGTTATATGATTGGTACGTATATATTTAAAATTCTGATTAAGCATTCTGACAGTTAATGTATACGTAATCAACCAAGTAAAAAATGCAATCGAAAAAGTTCTGATGAAATTTTACAAAGAAAAAAATTTTTGCAAAATTCAAAATTGCTAATTTCTTATTTTATTAAGATAATTGAAGTATTTATTGTTTTATAGGAATGCTTTAAGCAACTTTATGTCTTGGTACCTTTTTTTTTAAAAAAAAAGATATATTCAACGGTCTATTATTTCTTGACAGTAAAATGTATTCAATTGGTCTCCAATTTCTTTATATCATTTATCATTTTTTGAATTAGTATGAAGTTTGATTCAATATTTTTTAACGTCAACCATTCTTTTGAATTAATATGAAGTTTGATTCAATATGTTTTAACATCAACCATTCTTTTGTTGCGAAAGACCAAAAATCAAGATTATGTGTCCGAATATACATGTTTAATAACTTTTGATTATGTAAGTACAATTAATAATTTAAAATTATTATACTTCGTGAAGTTTTTTTTTAATTTTGTTTCAGGTTCTTTGGTATTTGCATCATCCTAGCTGCTTTTGGTGGTTATACTAGGTTCGTGGAAAAATGTAATTCCTGAATTTCGGATTTAACACTTTACAGAGTATGGCTTATCAATCCTTGAAAATGCGTCCGAATGATAATAAATAATAATCATACCCCACATGAAAGTCTGAATAAAAGAACATAAAGATAAGAGAACAATGTTTCAATTACATTTCATTCGGGGTATAAATACTAATTATTATTCTGGCGTATTTTTAAGGACCAATAAGCCATATTGTACTCCGTGAAGTGTTAAATCCGAAACTCAAGAATAACTTGTAAGTATAGAACTTCAGAATGAACTATTTAAATAAACAATAACTAAAATTGTATATATGCTGTAATTGCATAATATAGCAAAATTATAATTATTTAATATAATATTAGGCCAAACAAAGTTAATTTCTTTGTTTCTCATAACATTAAGTTTTAAAAATAACCCAGCAAACCGGCTTTTAATTTTATTTCTAAAAAAAAATTTATACCATATATAAAAAATATATATATAATTTTTTTTTTGTTTACAGGTTTATAAAAAGTCCACCCGGATAGCAAAATTTGACCCACAGGTAAAATGATATCTAATAGGGTACTAATAGACATCCTTATTGCTGCCAGATTTTGGCGCAAGAAGAGGTCAATAGAGTATCAATAGAATAATATTATTCTGATTGTGCCTATTGACCTCTTTTTGTGGCAACAATAAGGATGTTTATTGGTAAATCTGGCTGCAATATGGATGTCTATTGGTAAATCTGGCAGCAATAAGAATGTCTATTGGTAAATCTGGCAGCAATAAGAATGTCTATTGACATCCTATTAAATATCATTTTACTTGTTCAAATTTTTTTAATATATATAATAATTTAACTAATAACACAAAAAAATTTTTTAAAACTTAAATAGATTAAATAAACCAGTCGTTATTACTAATAAGCATCAATTATCAATTAAAAATAATATATTATTACTTTAATATATTGTTTAATACAAAAAGCCCAAGTTCTTCATCTTTATCTGATACAAAAATTTTAACACAAAATTATAATATTCTTGATAATATGAGAAAAAAAAGTATATGAATGTTTTGAACAAGTAAAGGTCTCAAGATATTAAAACTTTATGAAGAAATTCTCAATAACAGCATGGTGCTGCAGATCAAGAACTTAGTGGGCCGAATAGGTTTTAAGGTAAACCCGGCCCAAATCTGGAAATTTTGTCTGGATTGGCTGAGGAAATCCGTTACCCAATCGACAACCTGAGTTTAACATAACCAACTACGAATTATTGCTATTCAACTTGCAACAAATATAAAAGAATAACAAGAAACAAAAGTTAAACCTCTTGTGTAAATAGTACGGATAAATAAATTCTATTTACTTAATATTGTTCGTACTGTATTATTTTATTTGTCCAATTTAACGTTAGTTTATCAAAGATTTCGTTACAAATCTGTTTATAGATCGACGCTCATTATAAAAAACATCTATGATGAACCCGAATATAACGAGCTGCAAAATTCTATATATTTCGCCTCGATCTGGAAAGTGTGATAGGTTTCAAGAAAAAACAGTAATTCTGTACAATAAATTGTTTATTGTTTGTTATAGTATGTAAAATTTAAGAATAATGTAGTTTTAGCACAAGCCTGCCCTTTAAAATTATTTATTTTGGATTAGTGATTGTTTTTGTTTCTTAAGAAAAAAAAGAATTAATAAATTTCTCCTAAAAAAGGTAAATAAAATGAAAAGTTAGAAGAAAAAAAAAAGTCAAAATTTAAAAGGAGAAGAAAAGTAAATTCTAAAACTTGAAAAGAAAGTTAAAAAGAGGTGACGAGATTTAAGATCATGTGATTGTGCCTTGGCTGGTGGTAGCACTAGGACTTTGTGAAATGAAAATGTCGGGGGGGAATGAAAAGTGTTCGTGGAGAAATGAGTGTTGAGGATCCCAATCATTACGCGAATGACTGCTTATTAAATGCAGGAATATAGACCAAATATAAAAAGTGCAAGACCCTAATATATCTGGATATTCTGCAATTGCGACAATGTGCGGCATCTTGTTAGTGAACAATTATTTCGACCTGACCGTAATTCTTGACGCTGACGCATGATCCATTACGCACGTAACGTAATGGGATTTACATACACGCGTATGATGAAACGATAAAATCATGATATAATTTCCTATTTTTTTTTTATGGAATACGTGATGCTATCACGTGAGACTTACGCCGAAATAATTTAATGACATGATAACATAATATCTAAAATATTGCCATTTTCGGCTTCGGCTAAGTTCAAGAAAAGAAATCTTTTTTTGAGTTTTCTGATGAGATTTTATCATATAACGATAATGTTTCTTTTGATATGTACAAACGTGCGATTTTCGGATTCGTCATTTCAGGCATCAAGGTGATCGAGGTTGATAGCATACTTGCCGGAAAAACCCAGAAAAAATCCCAAACTCCAACAAAAAATTGCTATTTATAAAAGAATTAAATGATAAAAAAAATAGTCTTGATATTTTATAAATATATTTTATATAACTATATATAAATATATATCTCATTTGTTTAGTTAAAGATTATTAATAAAATTTTTGAGATATTGGTTTGGCCAGAGTTTGGAATAAATCCATAAATATGCTTTAAATGGCTAACAAGATGACTTTAGAAGAAAAAAAGTTTTTTTTTTTTATACAATTGTTTAATGAGAGTTATGTTAACATTTTTATAATATAATTTTTAAATTTGATAAAGTGAAGGAACGGGATCAACAGTGGGAATTCTTGGCTTTTAAATATTTGTCAGATGTCCTGGTATAGGTATGGGAAATAATATTATTTATCAGATGTTCGAGCCTCTGCGTTTGGGCTGTGACAAAAAATTTTTTCGTTTCTTAGCAAAAATTCTAGAAATCGTGTTCGATACATGAACACCATACATTTGTGATACAGACCTCTAGCCAAAAATATATATATCACATCCGTGAAAGTTCCGAAATGATATGCGTGTCATGCGAGAAATAGCCATGATTTTCGTTTTAGGCAGCTTTCGAATATGTGAGGAGGGTCAAGTTGATGTTTATTATTATTATTATTATTATTATTTTGTTTTTATTGACACGAAAATTTGAATGATACACGGAAACATTCTTATTTTAATTGCCTTTTGTGGACAAATGATTACTGAAAAACGCGAAAAAACATTTAAATGATAAATAGAGGCTTGGATATAAAGTGACACGAGATAAGATGGTGAATAATCGGTGAGCTGTCAAGGCTTTGTTGGTGTCTTAAGATTTTCTTTGGAACTGTTTCTTTCAAATTGTTACGTTAGCATGGCTGAGAAATAAATTATTTCGTATCTGTTTTTTTACTGAATTCATCATTTGTAAATATCATGAGTAGGCTTATCTTTCCAGCGTGTCCAATTGAATCTTCAAAGAGTCAGCACTTTGCCACATTTTATACACGGAGCTTTGTCCATGGGCTCGTGGTAGACTCTTGCTTCGAATTTTAGATCGACTAATTCCCACATCACACAGCCATGAAACATTGTCCAAAAAGCCCACGGGGCTTTGTTTGTGATCAAGAGTAAGTAATGATGTTAACGATCCCGTTGGGACTTGCGGTGGCCGGATCGAATAGTCTGCCCAAACCTGCGAACGAGACCACAACTCTGGAATGATGATTGGATCAAGTTATGCTAAATATTGATCAAGAAAAACCAATTACGCGTTTACAAATTAGTGCATCATGATAACGATAAGATTTTGATTTAAAAAATATTTATCGTTAATTTTGGAATGCATTATGTCGATGAATATGTATTATGTTCTGCCAAATTAATCTTTAATTTTTTTTTCATTTCTGCACTTCTATTTTATTAATTAAATATGAAATATTTTTGAATAATTCCTAATAAAGTGTGAACTTGCCTCATTAATCCTCTACCACTGTAACGGTTCTTTTTTTTGGACATCCTTGAATTATTTGAATTTAGTGGCTGCGTCCCTGTGTCTCGGACCAATTTTTTATCACGGTACCATGGGATTGTATACAAAACTTTCCAGAAAAGGGTCTCATAATTAAACCTTGATGATATTTCCTTATTTGACTCAACCGTAAACCCACGTTTTCAATGTGTTGACATTCGCTAAGATCGTATACTTTTGCCAGGCTCAGAGTGCAAATATTAAGCCAAGCTCAACATTTCATGCTCTTTTGATTCGAAGAAATAAAAAATTTACTTCTTGTTCCACGAACAAAGCCTTTTTATCTTACTTAGACTTGACTTTCTGATGTTAAACAATAAATCAATAATTCTCTTTTTGTAACTTACAATCAATAAACAGATGTTCCCAGCCTTCGGCCAAGCCCTTATACAAACTAATTTATATACATTCGTTATTTTATTTTATTTTATTTTTTATTTTTGTTTTTTTTTTTTTTTGTTGATCAACTCTACGCGGTGGCTTTACAATGATGTTTTTTTAAAGTCTTGAATTATTCTTGGATTTATCCTTCAATATCGGATTATCTTATCTATGAGAAAATAAAGATCCGAAAATGATATTACTATCTAATCAAATATTCAATAATCAAAGTATGGAAACGGAAAAAAGTATATTTTACATGGTTGCGCCTATACCCAAAAATCAAAACAAATTTCCTTGACGTGTCGGGTACAAACGATATCGATATGTCAAATAATTTAAGGTTTCAGTGTCACAAGGCGAATAATTTGGATAAATATTTGTAATATTTATAAATTAGGCAACAAAAAAAAGCTTTTTTTTTTGAATGTCACACACTTGAAAAACATCTTGTCATTCTGTTTATTAAAAATACCTGGCATTTAATTCGTAAAATTAAATTTTGTTCTTTCTAAACAGAAAAAAAAAGAAAAAAAAGAAAAAGATGAAAAATAAGAAAAATTCGGTTACATACAGGTTTCCCATGTATCACTGTGCCTATTCTCTTGTATATACTTGTTGTGCTAAGAAAGCTTGTCCTTAACTTGGCCGATGATCAAGCATGATTTGCGACATTGTAAGTACTTAATTCCATCATTCTTTTAACAGGTGAAAAACGAGTTGCGTCTTTTAATTTTTTTTTCCCGCGTTGCAAGATTAAACTCAATCGCTAAAATCTAATGTATATAGCATATCGTTAACTTTAAAATGTCAATCAAATGCAGTATTGGAATGTAAAAAAAAAATAAGCATGTGATTTTATTAACGCCACATAATTCGAGCTCAAAAATCTCCGATAAAGATAAGTATAATTTTATTTACATACACACATGATAGAGAAGATTTTGTAATTTATCGCCAGTGCGATGCAATGCTATCCTCCGATTTACCAATCAGGGTGCAGATCAAGAGTAACGTGAAAATCGAAGCGATAAACTTTTAAAAAGCTGATTTAACTTGAAATTTTGTTTATAAGCTGCAAAATTCTAAGTTTTTTAAAGAAAAAAAAAAGCTTTAGCACGTGCTTTATTAGGAATTATAGGGTCAAAGCCAATTATTATGTTATAGATTATATAATTTATTTATGCATACTATACATAGTATTTTATTTTGCTGTTAAAAACATAATACAGTATGTGCTTACAATTTTTTGTTATTTATTGTGACAACTTATGTTAGATTTTGGAGGTTTTTATTTAAATCTATATATAAAATTTATTTATTAAAATTTATAAATACTTTTATTAATAGGGCGAATCTATTTGTCGACGGCGGTGACGATTTAAAAACCTCAAAAAATTTCAAATCAAAATAATTCAAAATTATGCCTATGAAACCAACTTCCGTGTCTTAACAAAAAACATTTCTTGCATAATTTTACTATATATTATGACTCTTTCTAACCTAAATCTAACAAATTCTGGTACTGTTACCGCGACAAGTAGATGATTTTTTTATTACAGTCAACTCCCGCTATAATCACATTGTCTGGCAGAAGCTTGATGTGACTATAGTGAGAGAAACATAGTAATAGTCACATCGTGTGATTATAGCGAGAAATAATTTATAGTAATCATTACAATTGACATATAACTTCAAGGAATTGTGACTATTGCGAGTGTGACTATAGCGGGAGTTGACTGTAATAATACAGAGGAACAGGTAATATATTTAGAAAGATTTTTTACATAATTTAAATTTTAAAAATTTTAATTTAATTTAAAAAAAAGATTAACAAAAGAATTTAAAAATTTTTAAAATTTTAGTATTAAAGTAATAGTATAAACTAACTTTAACTTAAGCTATTTTATTAATTATAAAATACAATATATATATTAGAGTTGCCAATGAAACAACTAAATTGTGCTAGTAAAACTAGTAACTATCTAAAATTTAATTGGCTATTATATTTAATAGACAATTAATTTTTAAATAGTTATTAGTTTTATTAATATAATTTAATTTACTAGCAACTCTAATATATTTGATATAATTGAAATTTATTAAATATAGCAGATGGCTATAATATAATTAGCCAATTAGATTATAGGATTTTGTATAACAACAATAAAGCAACAAATTAAAAAATTTAAATATTAAATTGAATTAATATATTTGTAGCTATAGACTATTATAGTTATATTTTTTTTTTTGTTAATTAAAATTAAAATAAAATAAAATAGTATACAAATAAAAAGATATATTTTATAATAAAATTTAGCAAAAAATTTTTGTTAAAATCTAAAAAATAGGTTTATATATATAATGTTAAGTTATAACCAATTTTTAACAATTTTTAATAAAATAAATATTTGTTTTAAGGGTGTAGCAACTTAGTAAAATGGTAAAGTTGTCATACCCCCAAGTAGTTAAATACAAGTTCAATTCCTATTGAAGATAAAAATTGAATTAAGAAAAACAGATTCAGCAACTATCGTTATAGCTAAGAAAACTCAAGACCCTGTAACTGTAGTTGTACCAATTCATTAGAACTAGGAGATCTTAAGCATTTGTATAATAAAAAAGATATACAATATATATACTAATATTGCAGAAAGCCACAGGGCTGATATGATAGTAGAGTACTCGCTTAGCAAGTTCTAAATAGAGAGGTAATACAGATCTTTGATGATACTATTGAAATAGAATATACCTAAGGTTAATACAACTAAATGAAAACCAGATATCTGGCAAGAGTAGTGTTCCGAGTTGGTAAATATTTTACTAATTGATTAGTTGCCAACTATAGTTGCAACTAATTGATTGTTTATATCATATGGTATAATCAGATGATTAGCCAATCAAACCAAAAAAATTAATACAGATCTGCCCAACTAGACAGAATTTCTCAGAATTGTACTAGTTGAATAATTAATTGATTAGTTGTTTAAAATTTTTTCAAATCGATTAGTTGAAAAGTTGACAACTAGTTGATTTTTCAACTAATAATTTGGAATACTAGACAAGAGTATCTTACCAATCAGGCCACTAAAATATTAATCAGAAGAAAAAATTCTGTATACAGATACCAAGAAACTGGTATCCCTTTTGGGCTATCTGGATTGGTAGTTTGAAAAGATTAACTAGGGTGCTATCAAAAAGAGAAAGTATCAGGTAGACTTAAAAAAAAGTACTAGGGTTTAGATAAACTCTATAAGAGCAGAAGTAGGTAATAGTAATAGCTTCGGTTTGCAAATACTTGTCCTTGAACTTAGTATAAATTACTGAAGTCTAGGTTAGCCAAATTGTAGGTACAGAAAGCTCTAGCAATAATACTTTGAAGATAAATTAGTCCTATGGATATAGTACACATCTGGGACTTCCTGACTAACAACTGTAATGAAAATATTCTGGTGATACAGGTGGTAGTACATTACAGAAGATTTAAATAAATAACATCTATAGTTAAGTTAAAGTACTGATATTTATTACATAATTTTTAGGAGGTGAGGAGTTGTATGTATACTATAGCAATATCTTATATTATATATAAATATATAATATATGATTAATTGGCCAATAACAATTGGTCTTATGTAGAGAAGAGGGATAGCCTTATAGTAAATAAATATTACATAATAAATGTCACTGTCTTTATAGGTATAGCATCTAGTATAGAATCTAGAAATAGGCAGACTACTTAAAATAGACACCAAAAATATACGTATGGCTAGTATATATTCTCTAATATAAAGGTTTTTTTGATGAATCCCTTGTTTTGTATTTCTGAATAAAAAACTCAGTTTCAAAAAGACTAGTTATTAAAAAAAATAAAAAATAAAAAATAAATATTTGTTTTAATTGATGATTCTTCAATAAACTGAAAAATTATCATAGTATAATACAATGTAGTTCTATATATAAATCATATAGACAGAGATATGGAGATTTTTTAAAGAAATATGGTGTTTGTTTACAAAAAACTTTTTTTCTTATTAAGTAAATCATCTTTGGGCTTCTAACAAAAGTTGTAGAGCTTATCAAGACATATCTAATAAGAGCAGTGCCATTTATCACCTAATTTTTTTTTATCAGAGGCTTACCCCTCCTTTCCTCTCTTACTATATATTTTGATCAAGTCCTTATATATAATTTTAAATTTTTTACTCCTCTCCTCTAAAAAATCAACTAATTTTTGTCATATCTCTAATAATAAAAATGTTAAAATTGGCTTGGTAGTTCTTGAAAATTTTTAAAAATATTTTGCTAACATATAAAATTTCTTTAATTGATAATCCAAATAAGATCAGTATAATTACTATATTGGGACAATAGTAAATTTTGGAATAACATCAGGAAAGTTTTTTAATAGATAATCATCGATATATAACAATTAATCATTTTGTATTGATTAGAATATAACGCTATATATCGATAAACCATTATAAATCGATACAAATCTATAAATGATTTTTATCGAATAATAGACATGAATCGATACAAATCTATTTATCAAATAACATCGAGTTTATTTAAATCTATATATAGCGATTAATAGCTATTAATCGTTATACGCATAACGATATCAATTTTTGTTCTTTAGACTTTATGCATGTGTGTAC